TTTTTTTTTTTTTTTTTTTTTTTTTTTTGCACTTTTTCGGAAAGCCTTTTTTCTTTAAGCAAACATTTATTTTTCTCATTATAAAGAATTTTTTAAATTTCTTAAAAAATTTTTCTTTTTAATATATACACTTATTTAATGGCACAGAAATTTATCATCTGAAATTCATAGTTGTAAGTTCGAATTAATGCGGTTGTCGTTGTTGTCGTTTTTTTTCTTTTTTTCTTTTCACGGGGAGGGAGAGGGGTGAAAACTTGAAAGGGATCGATGGGTACGAAGGAGGGGAAAGGGATGGTATTTTAGGAATTCGGAACAGACAGCTGATTACAGTTGACTGGTTCGTTGGTCCAATAAGCAAAAAATGGATAGGCATTATCTGTTGTTAATGGTTTTTGAAAGTTATTTTTTTTTTTTGTTTTTCTGGTTTTTCGATTTTTGTCGTATTATTCAATCAATTTACGGTGTGGGAGGAAAATAACAAAAGTAATATTGATGGCGATAGCGGTGTGGTAGTGGTGGTGATAGTGCTTAACATTGTTCGGAAGACTTAGGAAAAAAGGAGAAGCTGTATAGGTTTGGTTGATTTTTGGTTATCGTATTTTTTTACTGGTAGACGTTTATTCATCTACTCATTCACTGAACTATCCATCTATTTATTGATTCGCTTATCTATTCATTCAGATTTTAATTACAGTTTTTTGTCTCTTTTTTTTTTCTGGAAGTTTTTTTTTTTGCTCGTCTTATTTCTCACTCTTCTTTTTCTTCTGATTTGATGCCTGAAATAAATTTAAGAATGGAACAAAAGATTGTTAATCAAAGGCGAATAACTACTTTTTTTTGTTTTCAACCCTTTTTTTTTCATGTTTTCTTTAGGTTCTGCAAAAAAAATGGTAGGGCAATAGAGATGAACTTAACAGAGGCGAACTGAGGAGTGGTTAGTGGAAATTGAGCAACAAAAGCAACAAGAAAAGAAACTGTTTCTTTGGTTGTTCTCAAGAAAAAAAATTGGTAGAAATTGAACAGAGTAACAAAAAAATTTGTGTTTGAGATTTTTTTATTCAATGGTTTCTGCAGCATAAGCAACAACGTTAACTATGTTTATTCTGTTCTCCTTTTTTTTTTTTGCTTTCACGCACCTCAGCTTTGCAGTAAATTTTGACATCTGTGGGACAGTGGATACTAGACTGCTCTGGCTGTTGCCAAAACGATGTAGTTTGAAAACCAGTCGTATCTGACCGCTTTCCAAGTACGATTCACTCAAGTTTCATCTATTTGTTATCG